TCGTCCTATTGTGGATATGCAGACCAGAGTCAAGCGGTTCACAAGGGAAGGAGGGTAAAAGTTTGGTTTTCGAGACTCTCTGAACTTTTTGCGCCAAACAGGATTCTTTTTCATGTTTTCCTGGTGGGGCTTCAAGCTGAGAGGACAGGGAAGGAGTTACACTTTGCAATACATGATCTAAATTCCTGAATTCCCGAGAACATTTTTAGATGATCTCTGGAACATCTCAAATCTAAGTTTTGTCATGATCTGNGTATAGGAAGATGAGTTCAGTTGAGAAGCTGCGAAGTACCTCTAATAATGAAAGAAAATCTGCCTCCTTTCTTTTTATCTGACTTTCTAACAATTCCAACAGTTTCGTCCCATATTATGCTGCATCTGGGAAAGTATAGAGCTCTAAAGTCGAATTTTTTGATCATCCTCATCCATCAGGAAGGCTAATTTTTTGAAAATTCTTCCCTGCAGCAGTTTTTCGGTGATTGATTATTTCCTCATAAAAAGTCGAAAATGTCTGGGTCAACCCTTTCACTAGACGATACTCTTCCATCATTTCTCCCAGGAGGATTTCGGGTCTATAGTTGGAAAATGCTCTAGGGGTAAAGGGAAATCGCTGCTAAGTCCCTGATAAAGACTAGCTGCAAAACCGTTCTATTTTTCTAATCTTCTTAATTTTATTTTGATTTCTTGATACTCCTCTTCAATATATCGCAGGTTATGGATTGATAGGTAAAATTTTTAGCCGATGATAGAAATCATAACATTGTAAGGCTTCGTGATCATTGGTGTCTTGAGGGTATTCGCAGTAATGAGTTCAGCTTTTCATAATCTACATTTTTGGGAGGTCTGAATCTAAAAATCGGGTTAGCGAGGCTTAGTTCGAAGTGCGAGGGTGATTATTTCTATGGTCTTTTTTAACTTTCATACTTTCCACTAGTTGCGTTAAACCTCACCCAAAAAGCTCCCTTCAGCCGCCGGGCGCTTCATTTTCTTGTTCGTAGGTTTTTCACCTCATTGTTCCCATTTCTCTTAGGCCGTCACTGGCGTTTCCTCTGTCTACCCAACATTACTACCCTACTTACAATAGTTACTTTTGCCCTTAAAATTTGCAGGCAAATATTACCACATTAAAGTGGCTGTTCAGGTTGAGCTGTTCAATGCTGCTTGAACCAGTTCCTACCAGTTAAGCTAAAACTGATGTATATGAAAAAGCATCGAGTTTTATTCGTATTCATAGGGCCTGACTGGGTTGTCCAGTTTCGCGCATAACTCAGCAGACTTGTGATTGCTCTGTTTACTCTTCCGCGTTTTTCAATCCCTCCCCGAACACTTGCCATTCTAGTTGATCTGGTCAGCGCTATTGAATTTGTTTTTCCCCATTGTACATATCAAGTGGGCCCACCTTCTTGACAAGCTACCTTAGCATTTCTTCGAAAGCTAACTTTAGAAACCTTCTACATAGCACCGGCTGGCTACTTGAAACAATTTAGATTTCGAGTTATTCGGGTGGCTTCGGGTGATTTGCATCCTTATCAGGGTTGTTTCTTATTCGTATTTCTTGTTTTGGACTCTTTTCTTCCTCCTCATTTCCCTAAGTTCCTGCCTTCATCCCTAATTTCATCGCTATTCTATTCTTCCTTTCCAAATCCTATTGCAGTAATAGTGAATAGATTACTCTTGTTTACTCTTACTCTCCCGACCTATATAACCCTTCCCTACTTTCGTACCCCTCATGTGGAACAAGCTGTCGGGCTCGGAAGCTATTACCTGAATCCAATTGTCCTATGCGATTCTGCCTCTTTAATGTTATAATAGTCCTGTACAAAAGGTAAGGGCGAAAGCTTTTTTGTATGATTATGTGTATGGGGGCTTTGTGCCGTGCCATTACCAGTAACATGGCTCAATGATATCAGATTTGTACAGTATGAACTGCTACATAGTCGGTTACGGTGAAGGTTATATTTCTAATTGTATATCAATGAAAAGATGAAAGGCAAGGTCTTGTATTTTTGATCAATCCCGTGATGGATTCATAGTTTTGATCATACGATCATACGTTTGATAGTGCGCCAGACGGCCCTATCCCACCCCTCTACAAGTTGAGTTGAAATGTTACTTGCTTCATACCCTTTGTCAAAAATCATGTGAAAGTCAGCGATTTTGAGGTCAAAATCCTTCTGAGTTATATTATAGCTATAACATAGTTATTAATCGAATAATCCTTCGATATAGTTTTATATCAAGTCTTATTTGTGTTGTATATAGTTTTTTTGGTTTATTTTCTATAATTTTTGTCCTGAATGTAGTGTAAATCACCAAGTTTGAAGTCCCAGTCGTTTTAAGATATATAAATTGCTATAATATTTCATAGTTGATAATATATTGTTGATATAAAAAAGGCTATATTGGCACCATTCAATTTATTTTCCTCTTCAAGTAGTGTCAGATAGCAGCATCTGGCAAATACTGGTTACTATCCAAAGAACGATCATTAATTAGACAATAGGTATGTAGAGTTTGATGCCGGAATGTGTCGAAAAAAAAGTAAAACAGCGGGGAATAAACGTTTCCTGTGGAGATCCTGATTCAGGCTTTTCTACAGTAAGACCTGCAAATTAGAGATACTAACCGATTAGGCTACTCACTAAGTGTGTGATAAAAGTACTATGAAAAGATGAATAAGCTGACCATAACTAAAAGTTTCGCTTCACATTACAAAGGTTGCTTTTGCATGTGTGGCTTTCACCGATTTTTTTTATTTTTCTTCGAATATTCTATCGCTCCTATCCTTTTCGTTTTAACCTTCTCAAAACTTACTTACATATTGTGTCTTAGCTATAGCATGGCGTGTGACTAATTTAGATTCACGAGGAATACCATACCGCCATCACCAGTGAGTCATACGGCTCATCTACATCATCATCATCACCATCATCATCCTCATCATTCAAACGTCGATTCCATGACGACGACATACGACCAGTTACGGTCCACGTTTGAACCACCACCATCGTCAGCGTTGAATTATGATGGCAACACTACGGCCACTGTCGCTACCTCTGCAACCGCTTCCTCACGTCGTCAACAGCGTGACAACTACGAACCGTATTGGCGTGATCCGTCCTACTACAGAAGACGGTCGGTACTGCTCCTTCTTTCTCTCACTCACACTATCTGTCTCTGCTACTGCATGTGCTTTGTTTATTTTTCTAATTTTTCTCCTTATTTACTCAAATTATTCTAACCAGTAACCCCTGCGTTGAAGTAGCTGTATTAGTTATTTTTTCATTTAATTACGTTCGCTCTGCATTCGAGCTCGTTTTGGGATCCTCGAGTCGGCGTCGCCAAAAAATTGAGTTAAAAATCAAAGTGGTCGGCATTTGATTTGCACTACGTCCGACGCACTCTTTGGGCTTTTCTAGGTCCTCTAAAAGTTTTTCTTGACCTATAATTCTTCGAGGAAACGAGAAAGTCGATCATGTTGGGAGCTGCTACGGTTAGAAATATGCTTTTTGACTAGTACGCATTTTTATTAATTTTCTTAGTTCACGTAAAATGATCCTTCCTGACTCACCCACTCATAATCAATTGAAATCTGGTTTATGGAGAAAACGTTTGGGAGCCTGTGTTAGAGTTATACTTCTTGAGTTTGTGCCGTGTGTTACCTATGCCTACCTACCCTTGCAATGGAGGCGGTGTAGGGAATTGCCCTGTCCAGACAGACGACGACTTGGGACGACTAGATACCGGTTGAGTCCATTTGATAACTTTGTCACTCAGAAAAGAATGTGATCAGCTTGAAGAGAAATGGGGGTCTAAACAAGTGCATGGGGAACTGGGCTTTGGGAAATTCGAACATTACTAGCTAGGTGAGCGTTGAGTGATCTTTCAGACATTATGGTGGTAATAATGAGGCGGAACCGGATTCATTTAATTATAACCTAGCGTTTTTGGGCCGTATAGAAACTTTTTGACAAAGTCATAGTGAAGACCCAATAATTATTGGACACCCTACTGAAGGACATGGTCAGGGGAGTTCTAGAACAAGTTGGCGGTCATCACTCGTTCC